TGTATCTGGGCGGTATTGTCACACTGGCTGCAGTGATATGAGTCGTTGACCAACACGATAACAGAAGTAGGAGGCAGATGTCGAAGTACTTGCGATCGGGACCACTTCTCCAAAATTTTCAGAATTCTTTTGTCCGTGATGGTCTCAGGAGGTTGGCTTTACCTGAAATATGAGTTGGGCTTCTGGGATAAACCCCCTTTTCGACCCAATGCTGGCAATTACTAATCTTTATTCATTGCCCCACCGAGTAACACCAATCACGTCGCAGGTTTTGTCAGCATTTGTCGACAATCAAATTGATGTCGATCCAAATAAAATGCTTGTTTTCTTCCCTCAAATGCTTCGCCTCGCCATATCAATAAAGGCATATTATGAATATGTATAAATGCTTAATTTTCACACTGGTGATATAGTGGGATATACAGCCCACACAATATCTGCTCTCTCCAGGAGCGTTATTTTATTTTGGACTCTTCCAAAAAAAGGCCTATTTTCTGCAAAACTTTGAAAGAGGCGTTGTTTCCCAATTCCAGCCAATCTTTCATCAGCATAGGCAAAGAGAACATTTATATTTGAGATGATTTTTTGAACAACATAAAAAATTCAATCGTGTTCCCCAATCACGTACTTGTCAATATCAGCGAACTGAACAACGATTTCTTGTTCTAATGCAAGAAAACGAAAATGACATTCTGTTGGATATTCAGAATAATCATAGAAGTTTAAAAATCTTTATACAATGTACTCAATTGTCATAAAATTTCAGTTACAATAAGGGGGGCAGCACAATTTTTCAAATCGTTAAAATCCGATTCTACAGCTGCACTTGATGCAGGGATACGTCCGAAACCAAATTTGTTTCGTATGACGCATGTCCGCATTGGAATGGTCCTACAATTTTTAATTAACGTGTTTGCAAATTCATTGTTCTTATGAGTATTGATATCATCACCTCTTTCTTCACAAGTCTCTTGCACTTGTCGATCAATGTCTTTTGCCAATGCAACCACGTAGACAGTGCGTTTGATGTTTCAGGCCAATCGCAAATACTATCTAGAATAGAAACAAATATGTATATAAATAGGTTTCATTTGTTTGTATTAAATTATATTATTTCATTACATTTTTATCTTGTATTCCATTGAAATTGTTAATTTCTTATAAAACTGAATCAATGTTCTTTCCTGTATGAAAAACTTCACCTTTTTTAATCAGAATATTTTTGGGCCTTTCTTTTGCTTTGGAACATTGTTAATTGAGCAGTGGATTCCCCCCCCCCCGGTACGTATGACTAGAAATCGTTAAAATCAAGAATAACTGTTTTGCTTCTTCCAAACTTTGAGAAACTATCAATTTGCCTATGGCTCCTAAGTACAAATTTCTGATGCCTGGATGTTGTCCCTTAAGAAAATCAGCATACATTTTCATTATGTGTGCCACATCGATCCTCACATACATAGCGGCAAAGGACCTGTTAGCCATCTGTCTGAGTACTATTCTGGTGTCATGCAGTTCGTATAATTCCTTAGAACACCTATATAAAAATGAATAATATTGAAATCTGTTGCCAGAATTTGACTTTAAATAGCAATTTAAGTTATAAAATCATTCGTACCTAATAGAAGAGCTCTGGATGAATCGCACACAGTTTCAATGGGGGAAAGTGGACTTAAACATTAGCCGGACTCAGCTAGCCAGCTGAAGATGGCAACGGATGTATGGCGTTCAGATAGCATTTGCCCTGAAAAATGGAAACTGACAGAAATCCCCATCTTTGCCTGTATTTATTACCATGGTGTATGTATAAAATAAATTGTTTTTGAAGATGAAGAATCTGTTTTTTTTTTTTACGAATTCCCCAGAGGCATCGATGCAAATGCCCACAACTTTATCCTGGACACGAAATCAAAAGCTTTTACAAAATGTACGAAGAGAATGCAGATAGGGAGGTTGAATTCCCTACGCTTCTGTATTAACTGCTCCATTACAAAGACACAATCTGCTCTCCTGAAGCCACATTGCTCTTCTCCAAGAATAACTACTTTAATGACATTCATCCTTCGTGTTGTAATTTTTACCGTACATATTGTAGGCTGTGTTCAGAAGGTTGATCCTCCTGTAGTTGTCGCAATTTTCTCGTTTACCTTTACCTCGTGTACTCTCTTGATGCATATTTCTTTTGGGTCCCAACGCAAATGCGCGTTTCGTTCCCATTTATGCACAACGGCTGGTCGACAATGCGCAAGAATGCGAAGAAGAATGAGTAATTCACTCAAAGGAACGCCTAAATTTATATTGTCGAGAGCTGTGACATGGTTTTGGTAATGGTAAACATTGTCGCCATGTTTGTGGATTAGTTGAATCCACCACTGGAGGGCATTCTAAAGCGGCGATGTGGGCGGTTGCTAGCAAACGCGAATTTTGATTTCGCAAATTTAGTACGTTCCATGCTAATAAGAAGCTCTTAGGTCAACTTGGGAATTGTGAAACAATTGGTCCGCATTCTGAGGGAAGTGCTTGACCCAAGTAGCGCATTTTTTCTAGATCTGTCGCATTTTTATTTTCAAAAGCGCAGTGAACTGATCGTTGAACGCTTGCCAATCTTCATCGCTGCCAGAGAACCGGTGACTAGGGAGCTCAGGATGCCTGACTGCGCTGTAAAGCATTTCCTGTGAAGAACCGTGTGAGTCTGCCACAAAAGGTATAGTCTCACAGAATGCAGATTTTTTCCTTAATAATGCATTTACTTTAGAGATTAATGCGAGCTATCCGTCTTCAGATGCGAATTCTTGTTCTGCATCTGAGAAATCCTGTTAGCGGGACTCGGTTTTATAGTTTTGCCAAGCTTCAAGAATACGTTTCTTACGAGAAACTAATTGTTCGTAAATTTCCACATCGACTACATCGAAACCTTGAATGAAAGTTGCCTGATTGTCTACGATTTTAACTGCCGCTGCACATGCTGCCTTTTCCGGAGTTTTTCTGCCATTTTGCATATTGATTTTACCTATGATTAAAAATTACGAATTAATTATTAAATTAATTAAAGGAATGAGATTAGTACGAGTGAGGTACACTAGATCCCCTAGAATGAGAACTTCAGTACCTACTAACGCGAGTATCGCGTTGATGCAGGCAGTGCCTAGTTGCTGATTTGGGCAGTAGACGGACGCGATTGTAAGTCAGCCGCCAATCGTCCAAACACACCACGACCGCCTCTAGAGAACGCAAGGCGCCAGGTGGGGTCGTTACTTCGAGCTGGAGGATGTCGCGTCGGACCAGAAGCGCAACACCGCCCCCCGTTTGACCTCGCGGTCCCGGCGATACACTGCGTATCCGTGAATATGGGTAGTGTGATGCTCACGAAACCTCGTTTCCTGCAGCGCCAATATGTCGAGCTGTCGCTCGGTAGCGAACGTCTGTATCAACTGGGTATTTTCCCACGCACTTTGAACATTCCAGGTGCATGTTCGCAGCGGTGCTTCGCAATGAGACGGAGGATTTACATTATTCTGCGCCATTGTTGGGCAGAAGCAAGGTCAGTAGGTGGATAGAATTTTTCAAAATTCGGTAATAAAAGAGGTGTTGGAGAGTGGCACCTTCTCTGGACACCTAATTGGGCACAGTTGTTATGCATGCTCTAGGTACCTACTGACACCTGTTGTAAATGAAAGAACACCTGCTGAGAGAAGGTATAATGTGGCACATAAAAGTGCCAGAAATGTAATAGACAGAGTTTTTGGCAGCTGGAAGAAGAGATTCCCCTGCCTCCACTACACGTTGCGCACTAAGGTGTCAACCACATTAAAAATTATTGTAGCTTCAGCTATTCTTCACAATATTGCTGTTGAGAGAGCCGAGGAAGAATTCAATGAGGCTTTAGAAGAGGAGGAAGTAGTAATAGAAGCAGACGAAGCTGATCGTCCTGAAGGTCTAAGGTGGATAGAACATTTTATTAGAACTCATTTTACCTAAATAATAATAAAAAAAAACCTGAACAGATGACTACATAGTTTTTCTTTTACAATCCTTGAAATTGTTCATTTTTGCCAGGAAAAATTAAATTATCTAATTTTAGTCTTGCAAGTGATTTTTCAGATCCATATACTTTAGATATGCAGTTCATAACATATCTGGGTATGTATAACATGGTTACATATGTCTATGTTACATGAAAGTTAAGAGGCTGGGCTTGGATTGTTATGTAAAATCATGTTCATAATGCCAGTTTCAAAGTTTTATCTTGCATGTTTCAAATTCCCATTCAATGTAATTTCATAGTTATGCTAAATTTCATTGTATATTAAACAATAATGTAATGACCTGCATATTTTAGGGTTGGTATTATTTCCCTTCATGCAAGTCAAACTTGAATTAAAAAATGAGTTGATATTCTCTTTTTACTTCTGTCATTCCCTTTAATATGTTGCTCACTTGCAAATGAATTATGCAAAACTGAAGATATTCACAGAACATTACTACTGAAGCCTATTGACACAGTTTCCTGCTTTGTAGGAAAAGGGGCTCCCTCTCAAATCCTATTAATTTGAATACAGGCTATAAATTGGCCATTCAGCGGGTATCAACTTTAATATAGAGTATCAGATAATCTTAAACTCGCATGAAATAACTAATTTTGACTGAATATTAATAGCCCTCTTTCAGGACGTTTTCAAGTAAACAGGACAATCATGATTTCTTACATACTAATATATTTCAAAATCTTGAAATAGAGTAAATGATGCACATCCCAGCGCTTGATGTTGTACATACCTATCTTACATAGGGAACAATAGCCCTCCGTCTCCATATACTGTCACATCAACTGTTCCATTTGTCTACCTTGTTCGAAGGTCTAATACACACTGATACGAATTAATATATTTATTGCAGATCTTCAACTGATGACGTAAATATCAAAAGGAGTTCAGTACTATACTGCGATTTATGCAATTCTGCCGCTGGCAGTATTACCTGTTGAGTTTCATCCAATCGGGAGCTTAAACATCACCATGATGACTTATGGGACTATCTGAATGAAACTCAATAGCTGATACCTGCCAGAGGTAAAGTTGTGGAAATCACAGTACACACTTCAAATATCAATTCCATTAAGTGAAATTTTCAACTTTCCTTTTCCTGGCTTTATATTGCATAAACCTTACAACTAGTTATAGAGCAGTTGGTAATAATTTACATGTGCTGTCTACTACTTTAAAGAAGATTGTAATTTGAGAGTATATACAACATTACAAGTGATTAGGATTCTGGGATATGAAAGGAGGTAGATGATGAAGGATCAAGTCACGGTTCATTTCATAAAATTACAATGGTTAATGCAAATTAAATTTATTTATTTTTCTTTTTTATTAATGTACATTTGCATTTACTCTTTAATATTTTTAATTTAATTCTTCTTTCTAACTGCAAAACCTGCATTTGCATCTCGTGTTCTTTGATTTCCATCTGCATTCTTTTGGCATTGTCGGACAATTTTTGCAGGTGCTCTTTTTGTGCCATTTGGAGCAGCTGCTATTTTATGTAGAGAAAACGTGTCACCAACAAAACTTTACCAAAATAGTACCTGAAAGGCTGCGACATCATTATCATGATCCATTGGTAATGGATCCACTGATGACCCCAGCATCCCTGAAACAATTTCCTCCACTGTATCTAAATTCAAATTTGAGGAAGGCCCTCCACCAGTCTTTCTCGCCTCGCTCCTCATGGCATCTATTTTCTCCTTTGTGGACATTTTCAGACGCTTCCACAAACCTAAACAGAAATGTAAGTACCTAATAGACATCACTTCAAAGTATTGAATGATGTCTATTATGCACTTCATTCGTCTATTATGTATCAAGGAATAAATTTTGCATTAATACTTTCTCCACTTGAACTTATTCAGTAGTTCTCGGCTGTTATTATTTTACGGTTAATGCGCACGGCTCCAAGATTTGTAAAATTATCTCATCTTTTTTACTCACCACGAATTTGTTCCTCTGTACGAGGAGCTCTCCCTGGAGTTGAACTATTGAATTCACTGTTAATTTTCTGCCAGGCTATTTTCTTTTTAAATCTCTCCTCCGTAGCCCTTATCAGCTATAATTGGGTATTTCTGGCAAATTTCTGCCAGTAACCCTCTCTCACTCGCCCAGTGTTTTACAGCGCAGTTCCTTGTGGCCGCAGTAGTGCAATGCCGCCACACTTCCCTGCTGTGTAGCCATCCCTATCCTTTCGGACATCTATGGCTGATCTGAAAAAAGAGAAAAAGAACATGGTCAGGAAAGACAATAGCCGTTCGGCGCGCTTTTGGCATTGTTTACCGCTATTCCCGCGCCGCTATTCCCCAACTTGGGTAGGCGTAGTCCATAATGGCATAATGGGCCTAATCATCGCTTTATATATAAGCAGAGCATTCGCTGTGGACAGTTTGCTTCCCTTGTGTAATAAGCTTCGCAACATGCCCAGGCGTTGCCAGGCTCTGCTAGAGACCGCGTCCGCGTGCTCGCGGAAAGTTAAAGCGCGATCCAGCGTGTACTTTGTGCTGGCGCGCCATTCAATGTTTGAATTGTGATAGTCGCGAGCGGGCCGCGGGCTGGTCGTATTTTGTATTCTGCGATGTGAAGAAGCACTGCCGGTGCTCTTTTCCACGTTCAATGTTGATGCGCCAGCGCTGCAGCACTCCTGATCTGAAACAATGTGCATCCAATATTTAACAAGCAGATGTTTCTTTTTGGAGCGTGGTCAATTACTGCTGTGTGCATCTGCGTACATGGCGAGCTCGGGTTTGGATCCGGAGGTAGCATATCGCGCACATACAGGCAGTAGAGCACAGGGGAGATGATTTGTCCCCTGAGGCACGCGCCCGTATGCGGCGGGTGGTAGATTTTGCGTGCAGAACCGTCACTTGGAACGATCTGTTCGCAAGGAAGGAGTATACTAGGCGTACTATATAGGAGGGGAAGTTGGCTTCAATGAGTTTGGCGAGGAGGCCGTCGTGCCAGACCTTTTCACAGGCGCTGGCGACGTCCAGGAAAACTCCGCCAGTGAATCACCGCTCGTTAAAGTTGCGCCGAATTCTGTCAACTATACGCTCTAGCTGATGGGTGGTGTTGTGGTGCGCCCTAAAACCAAATTGCTCATTATTAATTAGGCCGTGCTTTTCTGTAAATTTTAAAATTCTCTTCAGGAGAATTTTCTCAAAGAGTTTGCCGAGCGTGTTAAGAAGACTGATTGGTCTGTACGACTGCGGCAAACTCTTATTGTAGGGAGAACACGTCTCCGCTCCCGAACACGTGGAGAGGGGGTGGGCGTCGTTGGCGGACGAGCGTAAAACCGTCTTCGTCCTCTTCGTTGCTTGCTGCGGCGGCGTCCGACGTCGAAACCGGTGGTCCGCTCCCAGCGGCGGTGGCTGCCGTCGGCGGCGATGCGGCCGCCGACCGTTGGAGGGCGCGAAAGGGCCGCTCCCATCGTCCGACCTGCGAGCAGACGCAGGAACAACGCGCAGGTTGTTACAAATTCTCTCTGTTGACGGGGTAGCCATGCGCAAGCGCTTCAGCGACCCCCGCGTCCGCGGCTGCCGCTTTCGCCCTCCGGCGGAGTTTGAAATGCGGCGCCCGGTGACGCAGCGCTCGACATCCTTATTTGGCCCGAGGGCCTCGCTCGGCTAGGCTGATTTGCTCTGTAAGTCCTAAAAAGGACTGTTGTTCCCTCGCTGTCCGGAGTTCTTTCCAGGAGCGTCCGTCTTCTTCGGTGGTCAGCCTCGGAATCCTCTCTCACTCTTCTCATAGCGAGCCATTTTGAACAAAACAAACACGCCAGTTTTAATATTTATTCTATTACATTACAATAAAGAATGATATTGAATAATTAAATTCGGTCGGAACGTTACCTTGCTGTAACACTTTTCACTTTCACTTCACTACTTTTGCTGCACGTGGACGCCACGAACTAAACACTCACCAGAACACAACTACACACAACGACTGCAATACGACTGAAGGAAAATCCGCGAGGAAAACAGAGGACGAGCGAAATGCGCATACACAAAGGCAGCGTTGCGAGACCGATTGAGGAAACCATGGCTTGAAAACGGGGTCTCGCCAGACGGCATTGAAACCCCATCTTGGTAAGCCAACGCGAGTCGTGTCTGCGGCCGGAGTTTCGGAACCACGGTTTGAAACGGCGTTTTAGACCCAATCTTAGAAAGTGACCGAATGTGCCCTGGCAATTGTAACGGGCGGAGCCTCACGCTCGCAGAGCTCTAGGGGGGGGGGGCTGGGCCCGCTAACCTCTGACCAGGTGCGCCTCGCGCCGCTGCTCGCAGAGCTCTACGGGGGGGGGGGCTGGGCCCGCTACCTCTGACCAGGTCGCCTCGCCGCGTACTCTGCCGAGGAGGCTTGCGGGCTTTTCGACAGATTCCTTTTCGATGCTCGATGGGCGCTGCAACGGCGTGCATCTTTCGCATTTTGTAAAAGATGCCGTGTGCTGCCCGCCGCAATTGCAGCATTTAGGGCGTGCTGAAGAACCGCGTATCGGGCAGTCCTTCGTGACGGGCTTGTCTGCCGGGTGGCCCTCTCCCGTGCAGATCTTTCATCTCACGGGATATTCGCAACTTTTGCGTGTGTCCCCATCTGCAGCATCTCTCGCAGAAGCGGGGGCGCTTCCATTCTGTAATGCCTTTCGCTGCAGGTGTCGTGCTACTAGCAGCGATTGCAGGCAATTACAAATGCCTCCAGTACAGGATGCAAAAATGTTGAGTTCGCAGAGAAGCTAAGTTCCCTGGAGGAGCGTGGTGGTGAGCGAGGTTTCAAGTACAGAGACCAAGTCCGTTGAAGTATGAAAGGTTTAATTGAAAAGTAGAGCTGCAGAGCAGCGTGAAGTTGACACAGCAAAGTCTCTGGGCTGTGTCCGATATCAACGCTAGAGGATCCTTATATGGGAAACAGGTATATTTACGAGGCCATTACGCCACCCCCGCCAGAACTCAGCTTGCCCTGGACGCAATAAACTGACATTACTGTCAAAGGACTTTTGCCCTTTTGAAAGCTCTGTCTCGTAAGTTCCCAAACATCCCCGTTTCCACGTCTGGATCGTGTTAGCGTTGACGGCGGTTTGGGGAGCCCTATCACCCATGACCTTAAGATAAATCTTAAGATACGCAGTGCGCCTGCTCAAGACGCGACGCTAATTTAGATATGTTTGAAGGGTGATATTTCTCTCACGTACATGTTTGAAAGAAATATTCACTGCTTCTCTTACGCAATACGTACTTCATATGTACGTAGGTGCATTTACCATTACAATTCCTCCCGGACGACTTTTACGACGCAGGAGGCAATGATGCCGATAGCTTTGCGCGACTCGCCCGCGCGAAGGGTGACACGAAAAGTCCCCGTGCGCGCGAAGCGAGTTTCGGTGGCATCGCCACCTGCGACATCACTGCTTTCCAAAGTTCCGGCGGTTTCGTAGAGTTCGCGGCGAACGTGTTGATGAACGCCCAATGAGTGGAGGCCTGCGCCTTCTAGCTCCTCTCGCCCCTCGTCAGCAGTGATGCCGCGCGGAACCTGTTTAATGTACACGCGATGTGTGCGTTCGCTCTGGGGAGGTGGGGGTGAGTGTCCAAATAGGTAAATTTTGTGAAGCTTCGCGTATGTTTCGTCTTCACGATAAGCTTTTGGGGAGGAGGTTGACACCCGGTAGCCAACTCGGCCTTTTTGGTAGTGACCCGGCTGATTGTGGCCAACTTACCAGTGGTGTCTCATCGCTTTAGCGTGCTTTTTGACCGCAACTGCGTTTATTTGCAGCCGGAAGCGGTAGGGTCGTGTCGGCGGTCGTGAGGCGACCGCCGGTTCAGGGTCCGTGGTCGGGACCTGCGCGGAGGCGCCCTCCATGCCATTCACAGAGAGGGCCTGGCCGCCCTGCTGCACGGAGTCGGACTGCCAGGCGGCCGATTGCTCGCCGAGTGGGCGATCTGTTTCTGGGAGAGAAGTGGGAGATAGACTTGATTTTATTTTAATCAACTTTCCCCCCGCCAGTAGCCCTGGCGAGGCGGGAGTTTATTTTCGTGTTGGGGTACATGCGCCGCAGCTCTTTGGCTTATGCGGCAAAGAAGGGGGCAGTGCTTACTTACTAACTTATTTCTAACTTAACTTATGAAGCCGGCACTTTGGCCGGTAACCGAAGATTTGCACCAACACTTAATTGGTATTTTATTTGATATATTTGATTTAGTTTTCTTGGTTTTGTTTTTTTCATTCACTCGCACATTCACACTGGGTTCTATTTACACTTGACACACACACTTTCACTCGACTCTAGAGTCAGTCTCAAACTTTCGCTGCCCGCTGTTGAACTTTGGCAACGCCGAGAATAGAGTGGCCTGCAACCGCTCCCTTCTTGAAGAATGAATAAACTGCGTACACCACATTTCGCGTTTGCGCTTCGCGCTTACGTATTTCTTCACAGATATTCAACTAGAGCCTTTGTTCGAAAACACAAAACGACGACACCAGAAACGAGTCGATATGCGTGGGGGAGCACTGGAACTCCGTTCTCTTCCGCATGCAAGACTGAACCCCATTCGCTCGTGACCACGTGGTTTTTCCTTGCTGCTGCACACTTCGGCCAACGGACTTCCAAACTGGCGGCCAGTATATATGTTTAGTTAGAAAACCATACACGGATGCATTTTTGTTAGCGGAAGAGTGGACAATCGCTTCTAAAGAATGTTTTCGTTGCGAAAGGAAAACTGTCATCATAAACTATGTG